CCCCCGGCCCCCCAACTGGCTGCTGGCAGAGCCCACCATGGGTGAGGGGCACGGGCAGTCACACAGCCCCTGGCCCACCCGGCGCAAGGAGCATGCCGGGACAGTGCCCAGTGGAGGGGCTGAGGTGCTGGGGAAGACCCGGCGGGCACGGCCCACCCTTGCACCTCTCTTCGGGGGACCAGGGGGTGAGGCAGGGGCAGCCACCAATGGCCCTGAAGAGGCTGGCAGGGAGGAGGAGGAGGAAGAGGAGTATCAGCTGCTCACCGTCACCCTCTCCAAGCTGAAGCACTCGTTGGGTGGGTAGCACATGGGTGGCATCCCAGGGTTGGTGTTGGGATGGGGTGAGGACCCTTCTAACACTAGCATCACTGAGATGAGTTGCACCCTCTTGCAAGGGGCACTCCATTTAAGGGGCAGGGTGCAAAAACCACTGCCACTTCTCCAAAAGTAGAAGGGGAGAAGAGAAGCACCTCATTCCTCATCCGTGTAGGACCTACCAAATCAGGGTGGGATGGAGGCATAGCTGTTCAGGGGAGGAGGTTACATGCACAGGGGGTAGGGGTCCCAGCTTACCTGGGTGTGAGGGTCTTGTGGCTCCCTCACAGGTATCAGCATCTCTGGCGGCATCGAGTCAAGGGCACAGCCAGTGGTGAAGATTGAGAAGATCTTTCCTGGGGGAGCTGCCTTCCTCAGCGGCATCCTTAAGGTACGGAGGAACCTCAGGGAGATGTAGCACACCGCGGGGGGTGGGCAAGCATCCAGGCATCCCATCCCAAGATGCAGCTGGGTGCTGGCAGCCCACCAGCACCCCAAAAGTGGCTGTGCTTCACCCTGCTGCCTTCCCTTGCTGGTGCCAGGCTGGGCAGGAGCTGGTGTCTGTGGACGGGGAGAGCCTGCAGAACGTCACCCACCAGCGGGCTGTGGACATCATCCGCCAGGCCTACCGCAACAAAGCCAGGGAGCCCATGGAGCTGGTGGTGCGGGTGCCTGTAGCTCCCTCGGAGTGATGCTGCACCCCTCTTTTTGAGAAGCCATCCCATGCTCTAGAGGAGATGGATGGCTTAGTCCTGAACCAAGCTGTGGCCAGTCTCAGCACAGCCAGAGGTTGCAGAGAGCCAGACCTGCCCCACAGGCGCAGAGATGCAGCACACAGTGGGACCTGATCAGGGGGGCACCACTGGCAACATGGGAGGACAGGTGGCCCCTGACCCCGCTATGGACACACAGACACAGCCCTGAAAAAAACACATCTGGAGCTTGTTTTTAATCAGTGTTTCCAGGTGGTAAACAGGCAAGCCGGGCTCTGGGAACCGAAATAAAGTACAAAAATTCCCCCATAGAGCTGGGGGCAACCAAGCCAGAGCTGGGCACAGTCAGGCTTTTCCTTTGGTTTGACTCCCCTGCATGCCCAGCTGGGCTCCCAGAACAGTGCCCCTCTCCCCTCACAGGCTGGGCATCACAGGGGCATGAGCCAGGCTTTTATTTTTTTGGAGGGAAACAGGGATACTGGGGGCAAGGGTGTGGGAAAGGCACTGAGGGCATTCTGCCCCATGGCAGGGGTGAAGTGGGCACAGACAGGTGGGGTGTGAGCTGGGAGAGGGTGATATGTTTTGGTAGGTCCTATAAAAATAGATTTAAAATGGCACAGAAATTAATCCCCCAACATACACACAAGGGGCAGGGGGGAGGATGGCATGGGCAGGGACAGGGCACACACAGTCACCTCTGGAAGTAGGGAAGTGGCTCGATAACAGTGCCAGCAGGGATGAGAGGGAGGGGGACAAGCCAGCCCTCCCCCTGCCCAAGGTGACCCTGGCTGAAGTCAGCACTGCTAATCCCCTGAGCGCTAAGAGGATCAGCAGTAACCAGCTCTGGGCAGCCTTGAGGCTGGGAGTCAGCACCTACCTGGCCCCATGTCTCACGGGCACCCCCCTGCTGTGGTGGGTGCTGATGCACCCTCATCCAAACACCTCTTCAGGGGTGAGGGGGCAGTGCCTGCAGTCCCTTCTGCCCTCTCCTGCTGCCAGTGGCCTCGGCAGAGCCAGGAGGCAGAGCGGGGATCCCCTGCAGCCCCACTGCTTCCAAAATCCCAAGGGCTGGAGGCTCCCTTTGCCCTCCAAGCGTGGGGAGAGGGACGGCAGCATCTCAGATCTCGGTGGCCGTGATCTCTTCAAAGGGCAGGTTGGGACCAGGGGGTTCACAGATCTCCGATGGGGGGTCCTCACCCTGCAGCCGGAGCTGCTGGAGCTGCTGTTCCAGCCGGCGGGTGCGGGCGGAC